AAAGAGAAGAATCAAGTCCGAGGGCCGATGGAATTGGACTGAAGACCGACCCTATAAACGTATAGATTCCATCAAGCTCTGCTCTATCTCACTCCGACCAAGACTTCCTTTCAAGAAATGGATTCCCAAGACTGGACCATAGCTAAACTACTAAACTAAACCAAAGATAAGGAGTATCAGAACTTTCATTCTTCTTGTTCCGAAAGGGGAAATCAGGGCTTCTAGTATACTTCCGTCCGAGGAGAAAGACAAACCAAGAATCCTCCCTTTAGTTCATCATCTGTTAGAGTCTTTGTACGGATGGAAGGGAGTCAATCCTAAAGTCAAGACCTTAGACATCTTATGCCTTTCTTTCCTTTCGCCTATTTCTGCTCTTGAAAGCAGCTATGTAGGAACTGTTCCCCAATCCTACTTCGCATTAGTACTACACAACTCAGGTTCTTTTCTATATTGCCCCGCAGGGATTGCCTGAAGCTGAAAACCTTACGTTGACTGACACGGCACTTTCTATACGCAAGTCATTCCATTCTAGTTCCAGGAGAGGAGAAGAGGAAGAAGTCGTCACAAGGTATCCGTACGTACGAGTTCTGTAGGAGTGCAAGCATTCGACTTCAGTTCCCAATAGAAATCCGTAGGGTACTCTCGGGCGAAAGGCCCAAACGGCACCTTGTTAGCAGTCCTATCCTCAGTGAACGTTGTTAGCTGTAGTTACCGCTTTCGAGTTGTAGTAGTTAGAGCTATGTTTGTAGTAGTTACAGCTATGAATGGCTCCATCAATCATAGAAAAAGTATATGTTGAAGAACCGGGAACATCTTTATAAAGCCCGTTTTGTGTTCAGTGAAAGAAAGCGAGCCCCAACCACCAAAGAAAGATGGCTGGAATCTCCTCAACGAGCTGGAGTAGCGAACGGGAACAACGGCCTTATTGATTCAACCTTTGATTCAACCTCTTTACGGGACTCCTCTACTAGTTAGATAGTTAGGAAAGCGACGAAGCCTTCGGATTGGAAAGCTAAAATTCGATTTTCATTGGAAAACAACTTCGAAGAACAAGTAGTCAGCTTATAATACTACTGAACAGTGATTTAGATGGCCTTTTAGCCACTTGAATCAATCTGCCAGCCAAGACATGTAAAGCTTCACTATCCTATCCGCCCTTTCTCTATCCTTCCCCAGTAACACCTTACCTAGGTATTATTCTAGTTTCTACTGCTTTTTGACTTTCAATATAAGTATAGTATGAACCTTAAGTCAAAATGATGGATTTTCTATTATGGATGAGAGGTGAGAAGATACTCGACTGAAAGGAGAGGTGGCGAAGTTATTGTATGAGGATGTGGTGATTCTCCCTTTAGAGCTTGTGATTGAGGAAGGAAGTGACATAAAGAAAAGGAAGATCATGCCTTGATAGACTGAAAAGCCAGATAGGAAGGTCGGGAAATCATCCTAGGAAAGGGAATAAAATCACGCTTGTGAAAGGAATCGATCTCTCTTTCGGGAAGCCAACTTGCTAAAGGGATGGAGCTCAAGCCTACGATCAAGCAAAAAGCTAAGCTAACCACCAGAGGAACTTCACGAAGTAGCTCGTCTTCGGACTTATTAGAAGAAATTTCCCGCCCCGGTCCTCTATGAGTGCGAGCCGGTCTAAAAGCAAAGAAAGGTATCGCGAAATAAGCTTTTAGCGGCTTATAGTTCGTTGAATGTCCTTCGGATCCCCTTCCTCGGAGTGGTGGGAAAAAAAGACCTCTTGATCAATCAAAGTTCAATTGAAGGTATTCAAAGGCAATGGTGTGATTGGCCGGTTCAGAATGGAGTTTAGAATGGGAGTGGTCTTGCTAATCCGGAAAGGAGTTCGCTTAGGAAATGCGCTAGGATCCCTTAGTGAATGAGATCATAGGATCGTGAGGAAGATAGTTGTTATCGGGAGCCACTCCCAATTAGCAAGGATATTCTCAATCGAAGCTATCAACCTCAAGGGGACATTCTTTATGCATTCGAAAGATGTTCGTCGTACATTCAGAATTGAATCGATTTGCGAACCAATCAAAGAAGCCCAGCCCACTTTTTCTAAAATCTCAATGGGATAGCATTGCATCCGCCCTCATCGCGGATTTCATGTGGGATATCAACAAAGGATACCAATCGTGCTAGCAAGATTTTAGATGTTCCTAGTATATCCGCTACATGGAATAGAGTTGACCGAACAAGGGGTCCTAGATTAAGTCAAACTATACCTTGCGCGATTCGAGTGGTCCCGTCATATGCACGAACAGCTGTAGTGAGGAGCAAATTAGGAAGGGTAAAAAGAAAACAGCCTAGCTGTACCTTGTAATAAAATGCAATATTCCATTTTGATCCAGTGTCTATCAAGACCCTCTTGATTTGGTAGTGGTCTACAAAGGCCTCTACATACAGGGGTCGAGTACGGGGATAGCGAATGTAAAGTCAAAATCATTCTGAGTTTTGTGGTTGGGGATAAAATAGACTTCCCACCATAGCTTGCCCCAGGTGGAATGGAATTAGGGACGCTTGCTTGTGCTAGCCTTTGCCAGCCTGATGGACTTGTGAAGTGGACAGAAGTTCAATAATCGAGATCTGGGCAGGAATATTTTCAACACTGGTTGGGCTTTGCTTATGGTTGGTTAAAGGGCTGCGAATGAGAAATTCTTCCCGATCTGGTGGTATTGACTGATGCTGTCTGTAGCACAAGGGAAGGGTATTGATGCAAAGATCATCAAGCCTCAATGGATTAGGGAGTAAGGTCTGGGCTTTCGAAAAGATGAAGATGCAAAGGGTAAAGAGAAGATATCCCATACCAACAACCAAGCTTTAATAAGGATTTTAGCTCGCGCCCACTTAGAAAATGGAGATTCTCGGACGGGGTTCCAACCGAATAGAGCACTCGACATCTCTAAAACAACACCAAGAACAAATACTATGCCCTCCCCGGGAGAAAGTAGTGATGATTGCCATGAGCATGCTCGGTAAGGTAAATTATTTAAGGAGATTCATAGCCCAATCGGCGGGTAAAATGAAGCCTATCACGAACTTTTGAAGGCCAGCAGCGCGTTAGATAAGGGCTGCGATTGGGGGAAAGAGCGAACAGAAGCTTTAGATGGAGATTAAACAAGCTCTTGAGGAATCCACCAGTTTTGGTGCCACCCAGGCTCGTCGGCCTACTCAAGCTTTACCTGTGAATGTATATAAAAGGACATTGGAGGATGTTCTTCTCCGATGCCTGGGACCCGAAGAGTCGGTAGCTGTCATGCATGAAGTCCATGGCGGGATCTGCGGCGCCCATCGGGCAGGTTTGAATATGAGATGGGCTATTCATCGTTTGGGATACTTTTGGCCTAAAATATTCGAGGATTGCATAAGGTTTGCTAAAGGATGCGAAGAATGCCAAAGACATGGGCCGTTGAATCATTTGCCCGGTGTGGAATTACAGGCGATGATTAAGCCATGGCCATTCAAAGCTTGCCCCTTTTACGCTATCATACAAACCCCTGAAAGCGGTCAAAGGCCAGGCTGTGGCCGATTTTTTGGCAGAGTTTTCCCAAACGGATGGCATAAATTCTGGTCACGAATCCCTAGTTAGTGTCAGACCTTGGGTTATGTATTTCGATGGGTCTAGCACGAGGGAGCGTTCGGGAGCCGGGGTGTTCCTGGAAGGCCCAGGGGCCAAGCGGATCAAGCTTTATTTACAACTGGAAGCCATGACTCATAATTCTGCAGAGTATGAGGCGTTAATTTTAGGTTTGGAGGCACTTGTAAAGAGAGGAGTTCAGTCAGTAGTTATAAGAGGGGACTCTTTTATACCTGCTAACTCCTAAGGCAATTAATATAGCGCCTTGTTTTTGGCAGGAAGAGTTCCAGCCTTTGTTGCCCCCCTTTAGAGATAGAGTGAGTCTACTTAGCGAACTGGCAGGACGCAGAGATCAATTGATCAATATGAATCTCGAGAGTGGATGGTTGATCGCCGCCTCCTTGTCCTGGGGGCTCTCCGGCCGGGGAGGGACTTGCTATCGTAACCTTTTCTCCCGGTCGGTGTATGTGAAAAAGAGTGACGAACTCCTTTTTTTTGGTCCAAAGAACGAGAGTTGGCTTCCTTAAGTCCGTTGTTCCTCAGTAGCTCAGTGGTAGAGCGGTCGGCTGTTAACCGATTGGTCGTAGGTTCGAATCCTACTTGGGGAGAATTTGGATCGCTTTTCTGACTCTGACCTAGCGACCCCTGCCCTTCTCCAACGTTTCTAAACTAGCATAATCGTGGGACATCAAAGTGGGAAGTGGATTGTTGGTTTTCTTCCTCACTCTCGTATAGGTTAACTTGGTTCATTCCATTCTTAGGGATAAGAAGGATTCACTGGGAAGACTTACGTACTATCTTCATTAGCCGGAAGGAATTAGTCGGAACTAGTGTCATTCGAAGAACGAACAAGAAAAGGCTTACCTTACTGTTTAGGTAGGATAGATGGATGTGGCTTTTTCGACTTTTCTCCATAAAGCTAAAGCTCGGCCAGCTTCTTGTAGACTGAACTTGATTCTCTTTAAGCTCCGAGTTCTTTTTGGGTGGGATGGTAACATTTTTCTTCGCCACTAGTGGCAACGAAGTTCTTGGTAATTAGCAAGGGGGAAGGAAGATCTCCACTCATTTCATTCATTCAGTGCCTGCGGTGAGGCGCGACCCACAAGCTTAGAAGGGGGGCTAGGGAAGGCCGACGACTATATCTATATGAGGGGGAAGCTCTCGTAGAAGCTTTAGCCCTTGCTTTACAGAAATTGTTATGAACTGACTAAATGACTAGATTCTCCCGGAACGCTAGCTAAGCGAATCGTTTTAGTTCCCTTCAATTAAATCGTTAAGCTTTTTGATTGACTTGTTTGATAAAGGCGCCGCCCCCCTTCAACGAATTAGAACCCATTGAGGGGGGCCTCGGCCGGGGAAGGGGAGAGTGGCCGAGTGGTCAAAAGCGACAGACTGTAAATCTGTTGAAGTTTTTCTACGTAGGTTCGAATCCTGCCTCTCCCACTTCTTTGTTGTAGACTTCAGAGAAGAGAAAAGAGGCATTCTAAAGCTCCGGAAGGCCGACGACTATATCTATATGAGGGTGAAGCTCTTTCTTTTTTTTGGCCGTGCCGTGAAGTGAAATTGTATCGTATGTTAGTTAGAGAGGTTGGCGAACTACGTAGATCTATAGATTCCCCATCTATATCCAATCCCAACGAGAATAGAAGCCAGTCGCTTCCGGCTTGTCTTTCCGTCGTAGTCTTTTAGCTTATGTAGTCTAAGGCCTTCCTACACGCATGCGTCCGCCAGAATGCCTCCTTGGTTCGGGACGAAGCCAAGCCGATACATACGATAGGCGAAGGAAAGACCCCCATTTCATAGCGCCTGGGGGACGCAAGTTTGATCGAGGATTTACGAGAGGAGAGGTGGAAGAAAAGGCTCGGGATGGATTGTTGAGTCTTTGTGCGAGCCGTATGCGGTGAGAATCGCACGTACGGTAACGAGGGGGGTTCGCGTCTATACGTGTAGTGTGGTGCTTGGGCCTACCCACCCTATTTGTTCCATGATCTATGGGTCTACTGGAGCTACCCACTTCGATCAATTAGCCAAGATTTTGACCGGATACGAAATCACTGGTGCTCGATCTAGTGGTATTTTTATGGGGATTCTATTTATCGCTGTAGGATTCCTATTCAAGATCACTGCAGTTCCTTTTCGGGCGGCTGTAGGACGGACGGCCGCCTATAGGTGGTAGGGTAGGGTGGGTGGTACCGCTCAGATTGCGGCCAATCTTCCTAGCCGCTTAGGGCCGGGCTTAGAGCGCGTGAAACTCATCACTACCTCGTAAGGGCGTTGAGACCATAGCATGTTAGACGAAAGCGCCGCTTTCTCTGTAGTCTTGTCACACAGCTGCCCGCCTAGAAGAGCCGCTTTCTCTGTAGTCTTGTCACACAAGATAAGCACTTAGCCCGCCTTATTTAGAAAGGCCGGGCGAATCGAAGTTATCTTCCGGTCAACTGTCCACCCAGTCAAGTGCAAAAAACACAGTAGAATCACGCAACGCACGCTGCTGGTGTGCTTCCTGCTCGCAAGGAAAGAAGAGCGACAAGGTTCAGTTCAGATTTGACTGTTTGCAGCATGGGAGCAGATTACCCAAAAAATCCCTGGGAACAATGAAAAAAAAAGATATCTCGGTAACGAAAACGTTAGGGGGCTGTATTGGCGAGATCCAACGGTGAACAGCTGCCCAAAAGAAAAACCGCCTGGAAGTCCGAGGACCTTTAGTACTGTACTCTACCCCCGAACCAGCAGCCTTCGCGCCAAGCAAGACCGCCCTTGTCCCTTTCCTTTCTCCATTCCGCCTCCTTCTTTGCTTTGTTCCAATAGAGTCTAAGGCAAAGTGGTTCGTATGCCTACTTTACCTACTTTTAGAAAGGGAACGAACTTTCTTTCGTTTCCGTGTTTATGGATTGGATCCTTTCTGCCAACGAAATGAACGCGGAGCCCGTTCCGAATGCTATTTTATTTATTATTCCTGATCCGGAAGTTCTCGCGAAGAGAATAAGATGCTGCTCCCCCTCCCATATCATAAGAAAGGCTTTTCCCGCTTTGCTAATCTTCCCCTATAACGCGGGCCGGGCTAGGGCGCGGGAGGAAGAAACCTAAGAGACTAAGAGAAGACGCTCAACTCTTAGGTCCTTTTTTTCAGTGCAACGCAGGAAAGCGCCCTCTTTTTGTCATCCCTTGGCCTATTGGGATAGCTCGGGCTTTGCCTGCCCTTTACAAGATTCCGGCTCGGCCCGGGAAAGCGCTGGCAACAACAGAAAGGAAGGGGTCCATGTAGCTGCTGCGCCCGCCCCCTTCTTAGTCAATGGGGCACAGCAGGTTCGGCGTCTACTACAAAAGAGAGAATCCACTGAAGAGAACCACGCCTCTGCTAGGCAGCGTGTGGAATGGCCGAGAGCGGACCTTTTTGGATATATAATCCAAGTCGAGAGTAGAGTTACGGGAACAGCCGTCTGATGGAAAACGACTTTCACGCTCGGTTCAGAGAGCACTTTTTTCGTTGAGAATTCCTCGTTCCCTTTCGTGTGAATTCCCCAGTGGCGAATTCGAAACTTGTGGGGCCCTATCTATTCCATCTCTCGAGCCCCGAAGAAAACCCCCCGTACCTTCGGACTCAATATCTCTTTTGACTCTATATATGTGGGCACCTGATATCTATGAGGGTTCACCACCCCGGTTACAGCATTCCTTTCTATTGCGCCTAAAATCTCTATTTCTGCTATATTTCACGTCTTTCTATTTATGGTTCTTATTACGCTACATTGCAACAAATCTTCTTTTTCTGCAGCATTGCTTCTATGATCTTAGGAGCACTGGCCGCCATGGCCCAAACGAAAGTCAAAAGACTTCTAGCTCATAGTTCAATTGGACATGTAGGTTATATTCGTACTGGTTTCTCATGTGGAACCATAGAAGGAATTCAATCACTACTAATTGGTATCTTTATTTATGCATCAATGACGATAGATGCATTCGCCATAGTTTCAGCATTACGGCAAACCCGTGTCAAATATATAGCGGATTTGGGCGCTCTAGCCAAAACGAATCCTATTTTGGCTATTACCTTCTCCATTACTATGTTCTCATACGCAGGAATACCCCCGTTAGCCGGCTTTTGTAGCAAATCTATTTGTTTTTCGCCGCTTTGGGTTGTGGGGCTTACTTCCTAGCCCCAGTGGGAGTAGTGACTAGCGTTATAGGTCGTTGGGCGGCCGGAAGGTTGCCACGAGTAAGTCAGTTTGGGGGGCCGAAGGCAGTTCTCCGTGCACCGGACACGTAGCTTACCGAATCAGTTGCGACACGGATGGGAATGCATGCTACGAAAGATAGGGTCGCATCAACCGTCTACTCAATATCCTTGTACGAGTCCACAATCACTACACGAGATGAACCTTGGTTTGGTGAATTTCAGTTGGCCTTAAGTGTAATAGGACGTACAGTTACTGCGCGCGATCGTATACTGAGGTGCTCCCCGCCGGTTGTTGGAACGACGCGAGCCGGGCCGGGTCTCGATTCAGAAAGATGAAGGGCCCGAAAGTCTAAATAGGGGGTGGAAAATTCCCCATCTCATTGGGGGCGGAAAACGAATCGACATCTCGAGGTTTATAACCTACCGAATCTATTTGAGTTGGGAAAGAACGGCGAAGTCCATCCGAACCGTCCAATGAAGAATAAGAGGAGAGCAAAGCGCCAATTGCGCGCGAAGCGCATGCGGAACGGGCACGGAGAAAAAGAAGTGTGGAGGAGAAGCAGCCGAGCTCATTCCCTTCGCTTCCTGGGCCCAAAGCAGCCTCCCTCAAAACAATGCTCCTCGCCAAATCAAGGATTTGGGGCTTCTTGCTACGCTACTTAATCAATCCATTTTATTTAGTAATATATTCATCGAAAGATAGATCCATCCATCTATCCTATCCGATTTCGATTTTGATATCTAAAAAAGAATCGATTTCATGAAACCTTTGATTCAAAGAACTGTGCTTAGCCCCCCTGCTCAAACTATTAAAAGGGCTCCGCTGCAATGGATGGCAGAGGGTCCGTAGTACCCGAAGCACTTCTGTAATCCAGTAGCCGGGAAGGGGCCTAGAAGTGCCTACTACTACACCACACTACACTTGGCTCTACACATTTACAAAGCGAACCCCTGTCCAGTGCCTGGCAGAGCTAAGGGGGCTTCAACCCTTACTCTTTATCCCCATCTTCGCCCAGGCTAAACGGGGCCTTACTTATGATGGGAGGAGATTTCCGCCTCGAAAAGCACTGTTGAGAGGAAGATCCTTGGCCCCTCTTCATTCTCTACAGGGTTCCAAACCCAACATAGGTGACAACGAGCGAGGCAGAGATGGAAGAGATCAAACACGGGAATAAGAATCAGAAATTCCTTTTTGATCATTTTGATAGAGGGGGATGGAGAAAGTGGACAAAACAGACTCGCATTTCTCATCGAAGAAATAGAACATAAGAATCCTATTGAAAACTTTCCTAACCCACCTTCGTAGAGCCATGTATTGTAAGTGATCCGAACCTGCCCGGAGCGCGCCGGACATAGAGGCAAGTGAAGTTGGTGAGCCGTATGATGGGCAACTATCTCCTGCGGTTCGGAGAGGACTCAGCTGTTAGTTAGTATCCCCTTGCTTTCGGGGTGGACCCTTTCACTCTATTTTATTATATACGCTTAGCGAAAAGAATGTTTTTTGATACACCTAGGACATGGATTCTATATGAACCAATGGATCGTGACAAGTCCTTACTACTAGCAATGACTTCCTCTTTCATTACTTCATTCTTTCCATATCCCTCTCCTTTGTTCTCAGTTACTCATCAAATGGCACTCAGTTCATATCTTTAAGTTCGATCATTCACAAGGTTTAAAGAAAGGGTTTTCCTTCTCTATTTCATCTTCATAATTACAGCGTTCATTACTAATTCTTTTAGGTTTTTTTATTGAACTACAACGATCTGATCCCCTTGTTCCGTTTGTTTGTCTTTCATTGGGGTATGTAGGCGTCCAACTGTTCATAGGTTGGGTTCGATCCCTTTTGATTTGGATTCTTTTTTTTATTATTTATTTCCCTTCCTTCTCTGGTAAAGTTGGCCATGACATATCGCATCGCAGCTAATCTCTTTTCCTCACAACTGCTATATCGTATTTTGCCCATTGGCTTCTTCTAACAGAGTCTCCATGAGGACTCAACGAAAAGGTATTTCATTTCTAATGGTAAGACCGCCGTAATTCCATACACTATTGAGTACCGGGTAGCCCCGGTTGAAGTTCTTTCAGTTACTAATTGATCTCTTCCAACTCGCTGTAACAGCAGACTGATGAATTGAATTCCTCGTTCTATCATATGGACAAGACGAAAAACTGAAAGCTATCGCCGTCAGTGCATCAAGGCGTGTGATGGTGTCAACCCGCTTCAGAGGCCTTCGGTAAAGCAGCGAAAGTCACATTCACGCGCACCCCTGTGTCTTACGCACAAACTGGGCATGGTGATGGGAGCTAGGTTCAAGGTACAGAAAAAGATAGCCCCTTCCTACTTTCTTTCTTTCTTTGGTGCCAAAGACATATCTGCTAGAACGAGTGCTAGTTAACCGACTCCTGGTCGATATGAGGAAGACAACTATTCTTCTGGTAAAGTGGACGAGAGGAGCGAGTCTCTATCTAACTACTCTAACCAGGGGGGATGATAGGTGACAGGCCAAGAGGAAGGCTAGCCCGGACGAAGGCGCGACGGATATGTTATCCGCCAATGCATCTTCTTGCTACCCCATTTTTTGACAATAGCGATGCCGAGAATTTGACCTTGGTCACAGACAACTATCAGTTATTTGCTTGTTTCCATGTAAACTGTAAACTCACAGAATAGCCTTCGTACTTGATTTGAATGAACCTCTCTTTTTTTCAACAAATTGAAATGGATGGTGAGCTCTATTCCAAGTGAGAAGACTTCCGTAGGTCGCTTTCCACTTCCGAATACTAAAGAGCGATTGAGAGAAGAGCGGTACGTGGTGGTTATTATAGCGGGTGGAGACAAATACTCTGGAACTCGTTCCTGTCTCTTTTTCTTATTATTTGATTCTTGGGCCTATGGTAGTATCCTACTAGATGGTGATAGACTTTTTCAGCAGAGGATTTCATTCTTTCTCTAAAGCTTTCCTTTGGCCCTTTAGGGCTTGACTTTGCCAATCTCCTTTGTGAACATGTTATGAGTTGCCCTCTCATGAGACCTGACTTATCCTCATAAGGGTATCACAATGAGTAGGTTACTTGGAGTTGATTTTGACGGATCACAATTTACTTGGACTAATAGTCGTGTCTGGCAACGGTTGGATCGTGCATTAATTAATGCAGAGTGGTCAGAGGTATATTCTCGCACACATGTCTCACATCTCTTCAGGGGGCTCCGTTCAAGTTTCTCAATGTGTGAGCTCAACACTCGGATTTTTCTCAAGGTTGTTCAGGAGACGTGGCATTTTTCGGTTTCTGGAAGAGGTATGGTGGCTTTTTTCAATAAACTTATGGCTCTTCGAAAAGGCCTTCGTCTTTGGAATTCCTTATGCTTCGGAAATCTTTATATGCCGCGGGCGGTTGAATCCGTTGGTTGCCCATTTTCTGAAACCCCCCAATGTTAGTCGGAAACAAAAGGAGCTACTAAGTGAGGAAGCCCGATTTCGAGAGGACTAAAGAGCACTAACTCGGAGATAAATCATTCAATAGCGGAACAGAATCGGGTTCATAGAATGGATCAGTTGCCCCCAAAAAGAAGGGCCTAAACGGAACTAAGGTTCTTATGAGCGCAGCATTTGATCTAAGCAGCTTGAAATTCAAGGTAAGCAAAAAAGGGGAGGGCACTGGCACTGTGTTATGACGGGTGCTAGGATGCCGCTTGCTTTTGCGAGGCAGTGTATTGAGGCGATTTGATACTTCCTTCTTCTATTTCGATTGTGCTCTAAGGATCATATAACATTGATCAACTGGTAGAGTATGAAAGAAAATCTCTTCCATGCTCCTTATGTGGGTTGTTTGGACATGCTGCAGTTCTTTTCCCTCAGCGCAAGAAGAAAGAGGTTTCGAATGATGATTGGCATCAAGTTGAGGAAGGGTATGGTAGACTAAATCTCAGAAGGCCTTGATCCTGGACTGGAATAGATGTTCATGAGCATTTTCGAGAGTGGGCTTCCCTGTGGTACTCCAGTCGTCTGAGAAGCATAGTTCAAGTCTTGTCTATCTAAGATGTAGGTCGGAAGCTATCAAGAAGGCTGCATTTCCTTGACTATGAGGATGGAATGGACTATGTTGGCATCCAACAACGTCTGCAAAGATTCTCTGGAGAGAAGTTGACAAGGATTAGCATTGCAGTCTCTCTAGTGGTTGTCTTCCTCTTGTACGCTCCTAGGCGATGAAGCTAGTTCTAGAGTTGCTTGCTCTTTCTAGCTCTCTCCGAGTCTGCTAGTGGATTCCGAAAACGCTTGCTTCTATTCCTAGTAGCGGTTGTTCCTCCGCTTTCGGATTCGAGTTAGGAAGTCAGCTTTCCGATTGGCTATCCGTACCTATCACTCGTACGAGAGTTCCTCTCTCGATTTAGCGATTCGTTAAACTACCACGTTAGCAACCTCCGGATCTTAAGGTATGTTGGAAGAATAGCATCTATGTAAAGAAAGAGAAGCTGCTCTCCTGCTGCCTTGTTGCCTTGAAGGAAGGATACGAACAGGGGGGAGTGAAGATCTTGGGAAAGAGGAAATACACTGCTTTATCGATTCACTGTCATAATGGGAAAGATCCACTACACTGGCCCAGAAGGAGGCCAGCTAAGCTCAAAGGCTTCCTGGTAGGGAAGAGTCAGTCCAGTCAGAATAGGAGAAAGAGTTGTCCCCCGATCGCTCATCGTCTTGAACTGAATCAAGCTGAAGCAACAGACACTTGACCAGCGAGGTTCAATCGACTTTCATTGACCTGAACTCATCAAAGTCAGCATTGGATGAACGTCCGGTTGACGGGGCCTAGGTTTGATAAAGAGAAATCGCAGGATAAACCGTGGGGAGATTAGTGAAGCTAACGATCGATAAAAGAAAAAACAATTCCCAAGCACAACAATAGCAATAGCTGCAGCTTGAAAAGCGAAGGTAGTTCTTGGGACCTTCACATTCACAAGAGATCAATGGGTCCTGTTCTAGTTCGTTTTCTCATCTGCTGTGACCTCCCTTCTCCCTTTTTCTGGGAGCCCATGAAGAGGGCGAAGTCTCATGTTTGTTTGGCTAAGCTGGCAGGCCTATCCTACTTCTTGTCCCGCATCGTTCATTCCTTTTTCGATGGGTAAGCAAGAACTTATGCTTATCCATATGCAGGTACCCGCGCATATTCGGATTTCGACCTAGTGTCACTGATTTGATGTCAAGTTTATTCGTATTAATAAGTCTTCCCATTTCTTATTATCAGGCATGGAATATAGCATCTTCCTTGGATGCTTGAAAGCAAAAGCACCTCCTAGCGCCGGTTGATCCTCATTTGATCGCGGAAACGTGGGTTTTGGGCCATATTCTAGCCCCTTTCTTTGGCGCCGGTGGAGTGGTTACAGCAGGAGCAAGGGTATGCTACGGCCAATCCCTTCGGTCCGGTTCCTCGGTGCGGTCAGGGCAGTAGGGTAGGTAAGGTAAGTCGCTTTCCATCCGTTACCGGTTCTGTTCTCTTGCCCTGAAGCGGCTAACTTCACATACATGATTTGTAGCATCAACAGCATTCTTGCATCAAAAAAACTCTTTCTTTGAAAGAAAGGCTAGCTTGATATGAGACATGATGGAGTCAGCATTGATATCGAATAGGCTTGAAAGCATGTTCACAGCTTAAGCCAAAGAGGACTTGGAATATAGCAACTGCTACTCTCGGGAGCAATAGCAATAGAAAGAGAATGAGTCTAGGAATTCGCTTACATCTTTCAGTGAATACCCTTGTGATAGCTCTACAACTCGCTTTTTTATGCTCGCTTCTTCCGGTCTTTTTTATCTGTCTATAGGTCGGCAGTGTGTGTATATTCCTTTCTCCACATTCTTTTCTCGATGGGCGCGGTCTAGGTATGTAGGATCTTGGTCCAGGCGAAGGAGTTGTTCGGGTTTCGAAGGATAGCACATCAGTTTCTGATCCTGGGCAATTCACATAGCGCCTTCCTTTCGATAGACTTCCTAAACTAAAGGAGGATCTAGCTGTGGATGATGTCACAGCTGGAGAGTCAACCTTTGAATATTAATGCCTGCCTTATTCTAGACTGAAGAAGATAGATTTCAAGAATTCCTTCCTTTCCTTTTCATCGAAAGCTTTAGTCACATCTGACATCACTTCTATTAAGAATTAAGAAAACCTAAGTCGAGTTTGTTGATCGGATAAAAGGATCTATGGAATAGAGTTGAGAGACCCTTTAAAAACAGAATGAAAGACAGAATAGGATAAGAGTTCTCAGAGCAGACTTCAGAGCTGACCATTCCTTTCTGGCTAACCTACCGGTGGACTCGAAATAACGAAAGCAAGCTTTAATGCAAGACCCTTATCCCAATAGACTAGACATCTATAGATGAGAACACATAAAGCTTATGGAAATCCATCTTGACTTTCCTTTAATTCATGCTCTCATTCTTAGACTGCAGGGGGACATCCTCAGAATGGTCTCTC